ATGTCCAGCCCTAAGAGGTAGTATGTTCATATCAAAGTTTCTAACCAATATTACTGTAACTTTGGATATGTGTATACTAGTAATACATCCAATTTCAATGAACTCACTTGTTAATACTCTTGTGGTATACCATCCAATTCATATGATAGAAAGAAAAATGTTTGATCTTTTTGATGATGAACTGTAAAAAAAATTTCACAACTAGTAGAGATTTTATAATCGCAAAATAGTTGGTTAAATGCGAATCGTAGCATGGAAATCAATTTCTAGACACACATAGTGAAATATAACCTATATTTGGAATGTGAAGAAAGGTTTGAATACGATTGAAGCAGAAATACCTCAATTTTGTTGAAATTTTTGTTTTTTTGTTTTTTTTTCATAGAGAGTAAGAGCACAACATCGGAGATTTTTGGGAAAAGTTAACTAGTGATAGTTGGGGCGTGTTTGACATTGGTTAAAGTAGAATCAAAAATTTATTTCTTAACCGGAAATGTTGAGACGCGTTTGGAGGAGTAATTACAGCCATGAAATTATCTAATGGATGATAGAAGCAATTTTATGTTTTTATTTTTAATACATAAAATGCAGTAATCTTGGTTTAAAAAATATATAGTAGTATAATATGAATATATATAAGGTATGAGGTGAAATTTCCACAAGCGGGAAATATGAAAGGTCAGCTGGGAATAAAGTACAAATGGCCCAATAGGAATTCAGGCCCACGTGCAAGAGCCAATATGAAAAAAATGCAATATTAAAATATTACCGAACGTACAAAATATACCCCTGTTTGATTCCCATTAAATTAAATTACATTACATTCAATTTCTCTCTCTCCTATTTTCAATCACACAATCTTCCATAAAATAATATTACACGTAATCGAAAACTTTTCTTTCTTTTTTAACCATTCATTTTTTTAAAAAATACTATTCTTTTCATTTTCATTTTCATTTTTCGATAATGGGCATCAAATAGGGCTAAATGTATGCAGTCTTTGACCAGGATTCCAACAAATGATCCACAAAAGACACCAATTCAAATTCAAATTTGTATGTAGTCTTTGACCAGGATTCCAACAAATGATCCTTTGACCAGGATTCCAACAAATGATCCACAAAAGACACCAATTCAAATTCAAATTTGTATGCAGTCTTTGACCAGGATTCCAACAAATGATCCAAATTTGAAATTTGAATTAATATCTTCACCAATTTAAATTAAGGGTTTGTTTGATTGTAAAGATAGAATTTGAATGGAAAGAAAATGAATTCTAATGAATTAAATTGCTTAAAAATTATTTTCCTGAGAATTGTCAATTTATTGTGTTTGATTGATATAATTTTTTATGTGAAAAATGTTGAAATAAAAGTATTTTTTGCTGTTCATTTGACTTTATTTTACATTAAAATTGTTAATTAAAGGGATAAAATTTACTGGTATTAGAGATAAAATTTGTTTCCATCATTGTCCCAAAAAAAAAAAAATTTTATCATTTAGTTTTCGTTTAACTTTGTTGGAAATTGTCAATTAAACGGAAATAATTTTTTACAGTAGTTCTTAAAATTTGTTTCCATTGTAACAAAAAAAAAAAAAAAAAAAAAAAAAAAGGGGTAGGTTGGAAAACCAAGATGATAACAATTTCTAAGACAACCAAGGAAATGAAATTTCATGGAAAAAATGTGCTATCAAACACTACAATTTGGATAAATTCCATTTTTCCATGGAATTGGCCCCATCAAACGTACCCTAATATCTTCAAAAGATGATGATGCACCACCTTCAAGTGAAAAACCCAGAAAATCGGAACCTGAATATGGCTGACCGAAACTGAAAACACCTGAGCTGGCCGACCTGAACAGCACAACCTGGACTGCACGTTAAGCTCAAACAGTAGCAACAACCACACAGCTTCAAACCGAACTGAGGCTGGATATATTCTACAAACAAAGCTGTAAATCCTTGAAGAATCTCCCTGTATCTGGCCAGAGAACACACGAGTAGACTGCTAACTTCAAAATCACTCCTAGATGAACGTGAAATCAAAGGTAAAAAATGTGCAATGGCCGAGAGCTAATTGAGGTGTTAATACATGTACGTAGGGATGATTATATGACTTTAGAACATCTTCATAAAAAATTCCCGAAAACGGTAGTTATTCCGAACTCTTAATTGTTTTATTGAATGTGTTGTTTAATTATATTTATCATTTTGTAGTGAAATTTAAGTGTTAACATATTACATTTGATCCTTTTGAGAAAGCGACAGTATGAAATATATAATCCTCAAACATTACAAATCTTATGAAAAGTGCTATACATAAAGGTAACGCCGTGACCATCACATGACAAGGAATACAAAGAGACTGCAATGAAAATAATTGTGTAGGAAATATAACTTTCCTACATATGATATGTGTCTAAACTTATATATCGTTTTGATCAAGAACCTCCTTTTGATAGATTAATTAACGATCAGTGGAAGAGTAGTAGGGTGAGGGAATCAAGTAAAGGGCATTTTTTCTAGGAACACTTAATCCCTTTCCCTCTTCCATATCAAGATCATTAGAATGCATTTTGTTGGGAAGTTTCCAGTTGAAGTGGTACAGAAGTTGTGCCAAAGGAAGTTCAATATTCGCCAAGGCAAAGTTCATGCCAGGGCAAAACCTCTTTCCTGCTCCAAATGGTATAAATTCAAGGTTATTTCCCAAAAAATCAATGGAATTGCTCTCAAATCTCTCGGGTTTAAAGCTTTCAGGTTCATCCCAATATTCTGGATCTCTTCCCATAGCCCATATATTAACCATGACTTTGGCTTTATTGGGTATAATATACCCATTGACTTCACACTCTTCCCTGCATGATCTTGCTAGTAAAGGAAAGGGCGGGTGCATCCTTAAAGCTTCCTTGATTACCAACTTCAGATATCTTAGTGATTGAACATCACTCTCTTCGAATGTCCCCTTTTCTTTAACAACTTGTCTTATTTCAGCTTGAGACTTTGCCATCACATCTGGATTTCTCATTAGTTCTGCCATCGCCCAATCTATTGTTACAGATGAAGTTTCAGTTCCTGCAGAAAACAAGTCCTGCAACCATAACACTAGTTATTATATTTGGAGCAGTAAATGTTAAGCAAAAAAAAAAGTGATTTCTTATGACGAAAATACTTACAAAAATGATTGCTTTTATGTTGTCATTAGTTATTGGAATAGCTAGTTCCTCACTTTGCTGTAACCGAAGTAGAACATCTACTATATTTTCTCCGAGCGACTCTCCTTCTCCTCTTTTCTTTCCTGCTAAGTTGTCTTTATGCTCATCGATTATGGAATCAAGTATCGAATCAAGTTTAGCACGCATCTTCCACAATCTATTTTTATTCCAACTCATGAACTGCAGCAACTTTGATGAGGGAAAAAAATCGGCCAATTCAAAGCCCCCAGCTAAGGCTGCTCCTTCCTTCATCAATATAATCAAAGTGTCCTTGTCCCTCAACACTTGACCAAAGGCTGCTCTGCATGTCATCGAACTATTAAATGAGAATATCTTTTCAGTTAGATTGATGGGTCCCCCGGAACGTGACTGAATAGATTTAATAAGGCGCGAAGCCTCTTCTACCCTTATGGAACCGAATGACCGGACATTTTTGGTGCTTAACAGCTCCAAAATGCATACTTTGCGCATTTGCCTCCAGTAGTCATTATATGGACTAAATGCAATATCAGTATAGTTATACCACATAATCTTCATTCCTATACTTTCTGGCCTGCCCGCACAAGCGGGATCATGAACCTTGAGTACATTGTTAGCAATTTGACGAGATGATATGACAATCGTAGAAACTTCACCAAGCTGCAAATGAATGAAGGGACCATATTTTGCAGTTAACTTTCTTAGAGAATGATGTGGGAGTCCACCAACCAAGTGGTGTAGGTTTCCGACCAAAGGCAGCTTCCAAGGACTCGGAGGCAATCTTATGTTCTTATTCAGGGAATTCGATTTCTTCCATCCCTTAACTAAGAGAAAGATGAAGGATATGAAAAGCAAGAAAGTAGTGAAGTTGAAGGGAAGAAACTGGATTTCCATTATTTTGTGCGCTAGCTTTGTTGGACTATATTACGTTGGTCTGTGTGTCAATATTATATAAGTTTGATTAGCATAATTTCTGAATCAGATTGCTGTAAGGCCCAATATTTAATTGTATTTTAAGAAGGCGGCTTTGTAATTTGAGACTTCTCTAATCAGACTCGATTATTGTAATCAACGTGTAAAATGTATTTTGACTACTGAAGATGTCTAGATGAAGATCCCTAGTAGAAAAAAAAAAAAAAAAAAAAAAAAAAAAAAAAAAAAAAATAGGGGTAGGTTGGAAAACCAAGATGATAACAATTTCTAAGACAACCAAGGAAATGAAATTTCATGGAAAAAATGTGCTATCAAACACTACAATTTGGATAAATTCCATTTTTCCATGGAATTGGCCCCATCAAACGTACCCTAATATCTTCAAAAGATGATGATGCACCACCTTCAAGTGAAAAACCCAGAAAATCGGAACCTGAATATGGCTGACCGAAACTGAAAACACCTGAGCTGGCCGACCTGAACAGCACAACCTGGACTGCACGTTAACTCAAACAGTAGCAAAAACCACACAGCTCCAAACCGAACTGAGGCTGGATATATTCTACAAACAAAGCTGTAAATCCTTGAAGAATCTCCCTGTATCTGGCCAGAGAACACACGAGTAGACTGCTAACTTCAAAATCACTCCTAGATGAACGTGAAATCAAAGGTAAAAAATGTGCAATGGCCGAGAGCTAATTGAGGTGTTAATACATGTACGTAGGGATGATTATATGACTTTAGAACATCTTCATAAAAAATTCCCGAAAACGGTAGTTATTCCAAACTCTTAATTGTTTTATTGAATGTGTTGTTTAATTATATTTATCATTTTGTAGTGAAATTTAAGTGTTAACATATTACATTTGATCCTTTTGAGAAAGCGACAGTATGAAATATATAATCCTCAAACATTACAAATCTTATGAAAAGTGCTATACATAAAGGTAACGCCGTGACCATCACATGACAAGGAATACAAAGAGACTGCAATGAAAATAATTGTGTAGGAAATATAACTTTCCTACATATGATATGTGTCTAAACTTATATATCGTTTTGATCAAGAACCTCCTTTTGATAGATTAATTAACGATCAGTGGAAGAGTAGTAGGGTGAGGGAATCAAGTAAAGGGCATTTTTTCTAGGAACACTTAATCCCTTTCCCTCTTCCATATCAAGATCATTAGAATGCATTTTGTTGGGAAGTTTCCAGTTGAAGTGGTACAGAAGTTGTGCCAAAGGAAGTTCAATATTCGCCAAGGCAAAGTTCATGCCAGGGCAAAACCTCTTTCCTGCTCCAAATGGTATAAATTCAAGGTTATTTCCCAAAAAATCAATGGAATTGCTCTCAAATCTCTCGGGTTTAAAGCTTTCAGGTTCATCCCAATATTCTGGATCTCTTCCCATAGCCCATATATTAACCATGACTTTGGCTTTATTGGGTATAATATACCCATTGACTTCACACTCTTCCCTGCATGATCTTGCTAGTAAAGGAAAGGGCGGGTGCATCCTTAAAGCTTCCTTGATTACCAACTTCAGATATCTTAGTGATTGAACATCACTCTCTTCGAATGTCCCCTTTTCTTTAACAACTTGTCTTAGTTCAGCTTGAGACTTTGCCATCACATCTGGATTTCTCATTAGTTCTGCCATCGCCCAATCTATTGTTACAGATGAAGTTTCAGTTCCTGCAGAAAACAAGTCCTGCAACCATAACACTAGTTATTATATTTGGAGCAGTAAATGTTAAGCAAAAAAAAAAGTGATTTCTTATGACGAAAATACTTACAAAAATGATTGCTTTTATGTTGTCATTAGTTATTGGAATAGCTAGTTCCTCACTTTGCTGTAACCGAAGTAGAACATCTACTATATTTTCTCCGAGCGACTCTCCTTCTCCTCTTTTCTTTCCTGCTAAGTTGTCTTTATGCTCATCGATTATGGAATCAAGTATCGAATCAAGTTTAGCACGCATCTTCCACAATCTATTTTTATTCCAACTCATGAACTGCAGCAACTTTGATGAGGGAAAAAAATCGGCCAATTCAAAGCCCCCAGCTAAGGCTGCTCCTTCCTTCATCAATATAATCAAAGTGTCCTTGTCCCTCAACACTTGACCAAAGGCTGCTCTGCATGTCATCGAACTATTAAATGAGAATATCTTTTCAGTTAGATTGATGGGTCCCCCGGAACGTGACTGAATAGATTTAATAAGGCGCGAAGCCTCTTCTACCCTTATGGAACCGAATGACCGGACATTTTTGGTGCTTAACAGCTCCAAAATGCATACTTTGCGCATTTGCCTCCAGTAGTCATTATATGGACTAAATGCAATATCAGTATAGTTATACCACATAATCTTCATTCCTATACTTTCTGGCCTGCCCGCACAAGCGGGATCATGAACCTTGAGTACATTGTTAGCAATTTGACGAGATGATATGACAATCGTAGAAACTTCACCAAGCTGCAAATGAATGAAGGGACCATATTTTGCAGTTAACTTTCTTAGAGAATGATGTGGGAGTCCACCAACCAAGTGGTGTAGGTTTCCGACCAAAGGCAGCTTCCAAGGACTCGGAGGCAATCTTATGTTCTTATTCAGGGAATTCGATTTCTTCCATCCCTTAACTAAGAGAAAGATGAAGGATATGAAAAGCAAGAAAGTAGTGAAGTTGAAGGGAAGAAACTGGATTTCCATTATTTTGTGCGCTAGCTTTGTTGGACTATATTACGTTGGTCTGTGTGTCAATATTATATAAGTTTGATTAGCATAATTTCTGAATCAGATTGCTGTAAGGCCCAATATTTAATTGTATTTTAAGAAGGCGGCTTTGTAATTTGAGACTTCTCTAATCAGACTCGATTATTGTAATCAACGTGTAAAATGTATTTTGACTACTGAAGATGTCTAGATGAAGATCCCTAGTAGAAAATTTCTCTTCCATTTCACATGATTTGTACTATATCATCAACTCATAATAGATAAATATGGAATTTTTTATGCCTCGCTACATACGCTCCACGTAACCGATCCCCTGAAGTCCCTTGCAATGAAGCCATGTGGATTATTGGAGTCCATAGATCCGAAGCACAGAAGTCATACTCATTGAAGCAGTCCCATGCTAATGATGAAGCCTTGAAGCTACATTTGATGCTCAAGCACATCTGTCCATTGAAGTGATGAAGCTCAGGAAAAGTCAATATCGAAACTCAACCACAACAAGTGATGACCCACACGTGAATATCTTGAATCTACGTATGAGATACTTTTGAAATGATTGGTGTGGCATTTTTAATGAATAGAATGTTAAAGTCTTGTCAGTTTAGGCCGTAAGGTTACTGCTCTCTGTAGTATTAAAAGTGCCACAAGCTAGTGAGTTCAAATTAATGCCTAAGATTGGATGCTTCGGTTAAGGATATGAAGCCACATGTATCTCTATCCAATGGATGCTATTTCACATGTAACACTATAGATACCTCCTCCTTGTATCATTTGAAGGCTAATGCAACTTAATATATTTAAAGCTACTTTTTTGTCTTTCTCTTGCTGATTATACATTTGCTTTGCTAGAGTTTAATTACTTTGCATTCTTTGGGCTATTAACGATATGTTATTATTACACAATCGTTCCTAAATATTATGTCGGAACCCAAACATATTTTTTTGATGTCATAAACCTTCTTCTACGTCCAAATTCGGAGTATTATAGAATAGCAACCTGTTCATACGTGTTGCTCTTTGCTTACATGTACATGAGTGGGCTCAATATTTATTGTCTACATCACCGTAATAGAAAATGAGTTCAACAAAACTAAAGCCTCAAATAATTTTAATGTTTTTTCCCCCATATGATTTTAATTTTCTTATTGAGACTAATACAAAGAGGGATACAATAGATCCAAGTAATAAATATATTAGCTGCCATAGCCATAGAGGCAGGTTATATTCAAAATCGACTCTAATTTTTTTTTATTGCACGTAATCATTTTTTTTTTAAGAGAAAAATAGAAGACGTAAAAAACATAAAAAGATAACTAAAAATTTATGACTATCAAACCTTCCACTATATGAAAAAATTGTATATTCGTATCAAATTTTATTCACTCAAACCTCTCAAGTGGAAAAATAATATCCTAAATTCTATTGCACATATAAAATTCTAAAGTTAGTTAAATCAATGCTCATTGAACTATCTTATGTTACAACTTTCTCATCCATTTTTTTTAAATACTCACTATTTATCCATATTTAAAAAATGTTACCTATACATCACTCATATCAATTACATCTGTCCATAGGGATGGATGAAAATTCTACGTGGCATTGACGGAGTCCACGTGGATGGATGAAGTTGGTATGTGTGATGGATTGATAACTTTTTTTTTTAAAATGTTATTTTTTAAATTTGAGTGAGCAAATAGTAATCTAAAATAAAGTTCAATGAACATTCTTGTAATTAACTTGTTTTAAATCTTTTTTTTTTTAATTCAGTTGATTTAATTTCACATAATAATAATAATAAAATGAAATCAACGATTTGTAAAATTTTAACTCATTCCCATTAAAGTTCTATATTATTTCTGCATGTTAGTTGTTTAATCAATTGCATTTTTTTTTTTAAATTGCCATTTTAAAGTTTTCATTTTATATTGCTATTTTGCTATATTTAAATCCCTGCTCCTCAATTTTACTCTATTACAAATGTAATATGTATTTGTCTGACACCGCATCACTAATATTTTTATTTATTTATTAATTATTAAATAAAGTTATTAAATTGTTTTTGTCTTATTGACTTATTTATATATAAAAATTTTACTACATTGATATTTTTAAAATTTTAGCATTCCTTAATGCTCACCCAAAATTAAGAGAGGTTATCCAGGTGGACGGATGGGTTTCATATAACTGATGGATGAATAACTTTTTTCCAATATAGATGAGTAGTGAGTAACTCTTCAAATTTGAGTAAGTAATAACTTCAGGTAAAGTGTAGTGATCCTTGATTTAATTAATTATCAATTCTATTATTCAAACAATCCGTAAAAAGAAAAAAAAAAAAAAAGATGCTAGAATTATAATTTTCCTTAAAAAAATAATAAAAATGATCTCAAGTCTATGTACATTCAAAGAAGAATATACGTCAATTTATAAGATCTACCTGCTGAATTTATAAATCTCAATACTATTCTCACGTTATTCAGCCAAGAATTTGAATTCCGCCGTAAATTGTCCTTTCAATTGCAAGTTCATTTGACAAATCAAATAGGATGAATCAACAACATAGGAAAAAGGCCTCAATAATTAAAATATTTTTTTTATCTCCTATTTGCAAATGAAGTCGGCTTACAATTGCGACTTTTATTCTCCATATCAAACAGGACACGTAACAAACATTGCGAAAAAGAATCCTTAATAATTACAAAACTTTTGGCATTCTTAACACGAGATCCCAAAAATCTCCATCTTGATCGAAATGAACTAAAAACTTTGTCATCTATTCTACAGCTTTTGTCACAATATTAGAGAAAACTGGTCAACATTATCAAACTTTGACAGTCCCAATTTTCAGAACATAGAATTAATATACTCTTATCATATTAGTATAATCAATATCATCGGCTCATGTCCAAAAACTTACTAAATAATTATGGTTCAACTATGTGCTTAACTCTCTCGAAAGTTCGTTAACCATCAACATGAATTCCACCACATACCTTGCATGGTTTCTTTGCTTGCGGGAGAGGTTTCAGATAAGGAGATCCTTTGTCGCCCTATCTATTTGTCTTGACAATGGAGGTCTTTTCAGGGTTAATGGGGTTGATGGTTGCTGAACAGGATTTTAAATACCATTGGAGGTGTGAGAAGGAGAGGATCACCCACTTGTGTTCTGCTGATGATCTTGTGGTCTTTTGTAGAGCCGAAGTTGGTTCTGTTGCCCTCAATTTGGAATGCCTTCATCGATTCAAAGCTCTTTCTGGTCTTACTCCTAATCCATATAAGAGTAATATATTTGCTAGTGGTGTTTCTTCATATCTTAAGGATCAATTGCTTGATATTTTGGTGTATAAGGAGGTGTGCTACTGGTACGTTATCTTGGTGTTCCACTTATCTCTACCAAATTGCAAGCTTCGGATTGTAAGGTATTGGTGGACCATATTAGAGCTAGGGCTAAGAATTGGACAAGTCGAACGCTCTCCTATGCTGGTAGGTTACAACTCATTAAGTCTGTGTTATTTTCTATTCAGGTATACCGGTCTTCTGTATTTATTTTAATAAGACTGTGATCAAGCAAGTGGAAAATACACTACGGGCCTTCTTGTGGAAGGGCTAAAGTGGCTTGGACAAAAATTTGTATGCCTAAAGAGGAGGGTGGCTTGGGTCTGCGGAGTATGGAGATTTGGATTAAGGCTACCATGTTAAAGCACTTTTGGTCCCTGTGTACGAATTCTAACTCCTCTCTTTGGGTTCATGGGCATGGTGTTATTTACTTAGAGGTTGGAGCATTTGGGAATTGAAGTGTCCTGGGGATTGCTCTTAGGGTTGGAGGAAAATTCTTGGACTCCGGGATATAGAGAGGGACATAATGAAATTCAGAATTGGAAGTGGTAGACGTGCTTCGCTTTGGTATGATAATTGGCATCCTCTTGGCCCTTTAGAGAAGATTCCCGATGAGAGGATCATTCGTGAATCCAGATTGAGTAGACTAGCTAAGATGGTTGATATTGTTGTGCATGATACTTGGAGGTGGCCATCAGTTCGTGAATCCGTACTCACTGAAGTAATCCTATGCTAATGACAAAGCCTTGAAGCTACATTCAAGGCTCAAGACATCTACCCGCCGAAGTGATTAAGCTCAACAAAAGTCAAAATCGAAGCTCAGCAACAACAAGTGACGACCCACACGTGAAGATCTTAAATTTATATATGAGATCCTTTTGGAATGATTGATGAGACCTTTGTAATTAGTGGAATGTTAAAGTCTCGTCAGTTTAGGTTGTAAGGTGACTGTTTTCTGTAAGAGCATTAAATGCTTTACATGCTAGTGAATCCAAATTAATGCTTGAGATTGGATGCTTCAATTAAGAAGATGAAGCCAAGTGTATTTTCATTTAATGGACGCCATTTTATATGTCACACTACAAATATCCCCTCCTTGTATCATTTGAAGGCTAATGCAACTCAATATACTTAAAGCTACTCTTTGTCTTCTCTCTTGTTGATTATACATTTACTTGAGTTTATATTACTTTTCTTTCTTTGAATTGTTAACGATTGGTTATTGTTACACAATCGTTCCCAAATATATTTTTGGAGGTCGAACATATTTATCTCGTGTTATAAAGCTTATTTCGTGTCCAAATTTGAAGTATTGTCGATTAGCAACCTGTTTATACTCATTGGAATTTTACGTGTACACGAGTGGGCCCGGTATCTGTTGTTCCGTCACCCTAACAGAAAATGAGATCAACAAATTGGTATCATCTATGGAAAACCACAATATAACCATGAGCAACCCTATGAAGAAAGTTTGTTGGAAAATAGCTGGCCATCCCCAATGAAAAAGGATTCGTTCTTTAAAAAAACAAGAGGAAGCCTCAAAAGTTGGAAAAAAATTTGACAGTTAAAGGAAAAATGAGTTCGAAACTGTGATGTTCCTCCTAGGAGGTGAGGAAACATAATGATGAAGTCCTACACGTAGTCGTCCTAGCAGGTCGATGCCAACCCCACCACTATTGTAGACGCGATGGGATGAGGGTAGCTATCCAACTCACCAGGATGATAGCTACCATGGCAAAA